GCTCTTTCCATCTCTAAAAGGTCCCTGACCACTTCAAGCCCAGCTTGCTTCCCTTTTTGTAACAAGTCAGTATTTTAATTTACTTCCAAATAAGCAAGCTTAGGATCAAAGCTCCACCGTGTTAATGGGGCTTATTCTGAAATTAGACTGCATAGTTAACTAAGCTTAGTACAAATGACACTTAAAGCTTAAACACAGCTTAGGTGCTAGATATGTTTCATGGGTCTATGAAATGTTTTTTTGCCAGTTCAGGGTTACATCTTCTGTACTCCCTATTTAAAAGAAAATACCAGGGAGTGGGAGAATAATAATAAAGAATTAATGAATCACATTGAAAACATTCTTCCTATATAATTCAACAAGAAATCAGGCTATGCTGGCGATTAAACCACTAGCCCAGAATTGGAGAGAAACAGGGTAGACTTTGTCCAAAGACAAAACAACAAGACAAAAAGAGTTGAAGACCTTCATGCTCCCTTCCAACTCTACAATTCTATAGGAAAATATCCAAGTGTACTATGAGTAGAAGTGTCAGAAAAGGAACTAAGACAGAATCAAAGATTTCAAGTCATTTTTAAGAAACAAAACAAAACAAAATTCTCACAAAGCAAAACCCGTTATACAATACTGTATATGCTACAACCAGACACACAATCAATAAATGGTGAAGGGCCAGGTTTTAAATTTCCAAAGCAACAGAAATGGAGGACAAAGAGGAAGCACGGTATTCCACTATAAGGCCCAAGATGCAGCATTCACTACACCCATAACTATGCTGACACTATGTGAGCACCACCACAAATCAGGATGGCGCCACAACAACACATGGGCACCGCCTCACTGCTGCAGGGCTCTTGTAATGTTTGTTTTTATTTAGAAGAGAACAGACACGTCAGACTAAACGCTAGGTTTCATGGTATAGGTACATCCATTCATCACATTTGTATCCTGCACTTCCTCGTAAGAGCTCAGGGCAAGTCACATATATTTATCCCTTTTTGCCCTAACAACAATTCTGTGAAGTAAGTAAAGCTCAGAAACAGTGATTATGCTTAAGGAGACACATTGAGCATCGTCAAAGAGCAGTGATGTGATCTCAAGAGTTCCCGCTCAGCAGTTGAATGCTGTCCACTATGTAACTTTGGCTCAAGTTCACCAGAACTCATCTTGAACTATGTAATCACTGGTGCTTTTGGATTTCCACCGCACCACACACCATTTATGTCTACCTGCATATTTTCTTCATGACACAGACATTCACTGTTCCTTTTCATTACTGGAAAGCCAAAAAAATGCATTTTGAAAAAACACGCAACTGAACAAACACAGTGCCTTTGTTTACACAGCACACTAAAGCAGCTTTGTATGTAGGGGTGCATTAATATTCAGTGAAATATATTGAAGGTTTACACTGATCACAACCTTGAACCCCCCTGCAAAAAACCTACCCAACAAACTTCTCATAATGCACCATTACCACATATCTGAACAATATTCTGCAATACTAGCTGTAGGAACAACCAAGGTAAACCAGAATTTGTTTAAATACAGATTGTTGTCAGTGTTAGAAAATAGCCAGGTGTGTTTTGCGACTGGCGCAGGTCCAATTGTGACTACGTGGAGATCTCTGGCCACCAGGTTGGCGACTGGGGAAAGCAAAATGTCACTTAGAGAACGATCTGAAAGATTTTCCTTGAAGCTTGATTTTTTTTATTCTAGATTGTTTTGTTAGATGTTTTAACCACTTTGAGATTCGTTCTTTAAAATACAAAGTGGTATAGAAATGAAAACAGTAACAACAACAACAAACCCCACTAACGGAACAAACAGCGCCTAGGCATGCCGTTGTGGTGACCATGACCTAGGCTCAAGGTGCAATTTGCTGATTAGATTATATATCTGAGTTTCTAACACTGATTGTTGTACTGAGGTAGCATGTGAGAATACTAAAACTGACATTAGAAATCAGCATATCACCCACCCACTAAAATTCAGGCATAAAAGACAACAGGTCAGGGATAACAAGGCATTTCCACCAACTGCGGATTCCAGACCAGAAACCTAAACTTCATTCATTCAACCAGAGACATTGTCCCCTGTCCAGCACAAGGACACAGGACCAAGAATCTTATATTGCACTTCTGGCTCTGCCACTGAGTCACTGTTTGACCTTAGACCAAAACACTACTTCAATCCCGTGCATCTGTTTCCCTGTCTTATTGGCACCAGCAACACTTCCTTGCCTCAAAGCAGGATTTCTCCTGTTTGAGAAATGCACAGTTCTTCAGAAGAAACTATGGTTAACACTGTTGTGGTACAATTAATAAAATTCATTAAAGAGTAGAGCAAGGATTCAGTGCAACCCTCAAAAGTGCCTGCCTTCTAATTTATAAGATGTTTTGAAAACAAATATATACAGTCATCAACTCCAAGAGTCTTCAAAAGGATAGGCATAAAAAAACCAAATCACTGAGAACACTTTACACAAAGACATTCACAGACATCCTAGACAACCAAGTGCATATTTAGATATGTTTGCATCTTACTGCTTCCAAGTGCTTTTTATTCCAAGGCTTATTTGGGTGATTAAAACATGTTGATTTCCCAATGTTCTAGGGCAACTTCTTTTTTAAAAATTTAAAGATTGACATGCATTCATATTTTCCTAGAAAACCACACTCTACTCAGCATTACTCACATATATAATGCATAAGAAATTCTACAGGAACCACTTCCCCCTCTGACTTTTTGTCCATCGATCTCATGTTTTGTGCCCCTATAACAGTACAGGAACTCCAACAAGCTCAAGGAGCTTATCCATGTTGGAGGAGAAAGTAAAACTCATTTTCATTATTGTGACGCCACACGGCATTTTTAAAGAAACCACCTTCTATGCTTCAAACTGTTATCCAGGGGTTAGTGTTTGAGTCAAAGAAGGCAGCAAAGAGGGGAGAATCTCTCCAAGATATGACTAGTTCAAACAGGATTTTGTTATTTATTTAAAATTACACTGCTTAATATAAAAGCCTCTCAATTGTTTACTTGAAGATTAACAATAATGCAAGAACATTCAATAACATTTCTTAAAAACTAGATACAAAGTGCAACTGTATATCACTAATAACATTGAGTAGCTGAGGTCAGGCATGCGCCAAAGCGCATCACTAGTTAGGAGTCCCCTCACCATTGCACTCCCATGGTTGTCTAGAAAGGTGGGCAGGAGGGCGAGAAAGTCTCGCACCATCTCAAAACTTCCCAGGCACTCCACAAGCAACATACAGAAGACCTGGGGAAGCACATCCCTCACTTGATGAGGAATACCCCGAAAGGTTGGAAGCAGTGGGAGATATGATGCACACTGCATTGTAGCAGAGAAGAACTGAGAACTAGGTGCACATCAGAATGGGACTAGGAAGGGGACCGGTCCCTCAATAAGTTAATGCTTGCTCTCCAAGGCTCTGGGACAGTCTCTCAGATCAAACCCAAAAATGCTTCCTCAGGCACCCTCAACCAGTTAAGGGAGTCTGTTGAGAGGCCCTTGACTCCTGGACAAACCCGTCATCTTCAAAGTGGTCCCTAACTATGGAACAACCTCCCAAGAGAAATTCTTCTGACCCAACCCTCTTAATAAGTTTTAATTTGATCAGACGGTTTTTTAATACGTAACTTCCAATGTTATGTTTTTCATCTGTGAATTCTGAAATAGTTTTTACAACAATGTTTGTGTCTGCACTTGTTCTTGTGGTTTTCATGATGACGTTTTAACTATTTGTCTGCTTTTTATTGTTAGCATTGCATTTTAAAAGCAAAAGAACAAATCTTGTGAGCCTTTCTCCACCTCAAATTTGATGATGATGTTGATGATGATTAGTTTTAAGAGGCAGGATATAAATATTAAAACAAGCAAAGCAAACAGAGAAGCAGCAGGCAGCCTCTGGGCCAAAAGGGGTGTGTGCTCACATTCAGTCTCAACCTCAGTGGTGGTGGTGTGCCCTCTGCTGTGAGCTATTTATTCATTTTCTTCCATTTATATCCTGTCTTTCTTCTATCATGAAACCCAAGGCGGCATACATGTGGCTTTCCAGGCAGTCTCCAATCCAGGGACTAAACAGACCCAGAACATTAGTTCCATTATTTTTGTTTTGTATTTGAAATTCATATAGTGTTCCACAACATCAGGGCTCGTTTGAGCACCTTCGGCTTCTAAACTGGTGTTTTAATTTTGGGGGTGTGACAGGCTTTATCTTTGCTGTTACCCATGTTGCTTTTCATTTCACAGTGCATGCCTGACATTCGTTTTTTTATAATTACTGCATGCCAATTATGACAAAACATGTTACATGATGGGGTGGTCCACAAATACTGTTCAGCCAGTGTGAGCGAAGCAGTTAATAGCATTATATAGACTATGACATGGGAGAACAGGGTTCAAATGCCACCCCACCCCCCACCCCCAACTCTGTCATGAAGCTCGCTGCATGACCTTGAGCCAGTCAGTACCTCTCTGCCTTAGCCTACCTCACAGGGTTGTTGTGAAGATAAAATTGAGGGGGTGGGTGGGTTAGAACCATGCAGGCCACCTTCAGCTCCTTGACAAAAAGGCGGGGATAGCAATGTAATAATAAAAATGAACAAAACCCAACAGATACAGCTTACAACAAAATAAATGAATGAACCAAGAACAGAAGTGGGGCTGAGGGGGGAGAGCGGATATCCCTCTTAGGGAGATTATTATGGAGAAGGAATGAGGAAGCTTTCATTTTTATTCGTGTGTGTTTGACTATCTCTCGCCTCATTAAAAAAAAATAATAGGGAAGGGGCGACTCACCTAGCCCACCACCACACGCCCCCCCTCCAGTACGCGCACGCGCGCCTCCCCCTCACCGGGGGCGCGCCTTCCCTTCCCCCACATTCTCTGCCCCCCCACTCACTCTCTCTCGCGCGCTCTTTGGCGTTCTCTCCCCTCCCTCCCCCCGCGAGGGTCGCGCGCTCAGACTGACCGTTGCTGAGGGACGCCCCGGCGGCGGCGGCGGCGGCGGCTTCAACGACTGTTTGCTGGCTGGGCGGCAGGCTGACCGGTTTCCTTTCTCTCCCGTTCTCCTCAGCCCCGTCTCCGCACTACTCACCGCCACTATTACCACCTACCCCGCCTTGGGCGGCCGAGTAACTTTGACCCCCACCCTCCCGCCTCCCACCCCGCCCGGCTCTCTCCCGCCTCCTCAGGAAACCGTTTCCTTTTTCTCTTTCCTTTTTTTTTAACCCCCCTCAGCACCAAAGCGGAGGCAGCCAGCTATAACAACCGCCCCCCCCACGCTCCTCCTCCCAGAGTCCAGAAGCCGGCCCCTTACGCCGCTTCCGTAGCGTAGCGACTCACCGAGAAGCGAAGAGCCCGCCCTGCGGAAACAGCGCCGAAAGCCGTCGTGAATACGAAGGTGAGGGACTACAAGCCCCAGAGGGCCTGGCGGGAGGCGGGGAAAACGGATGTGGTAGCCCTCGGTGGTGAGGGAGGCTCGCTTCGGGAGTTGTGGTCCTGCAAAGGAGGGAGGTTTTTATTTTTACCTCAGCCAGGAAGGGGTTGAGAAAGAGCGCGTAGATGCTGATTAAAGGCGAAAGGCAGGCGAGCTGTTTTTGCGGTCGCTATGCCCTAACTGGAGTGTTACCCAGGCCTGGAAAGGAAACATAGGGTTTTGACTACAACTCCCAGGATCCACTGCGCCTCCCACCCAGCCTGGCAGCTGTGCGGCAGCGGCGGCTCACCTGGGGCTCAGCTGGTGGGCGGGGCTAAGCGTGATGCAAAGCTATGCGCTGCCCTAGGCAGCTTTCCCGTACCTTTTACGTGCGCTTTATGCGGTTTTCGGTAGCTGCAGCCGCCCACCGCCATCGGGAAATAAAAAGCACCCAAAAAGCTCATTGGAAAAAGCAGTGCCGGAACGACGACGCGTCAGTTGAAGGCGCTACTCGCACAGGCACGGGCAACTTGTAAAAGCAAAACAATGGCAATAGGAATTGAGAACTAGGATCTGATTTTCCCCCACCTCAGCAATACCACTTTACACCCAAAGCTACGCACATCTAAGCAATAAATAATCAAGAGCCCACCCACAGTCAGAGGTGCAGTTTTTTATTTATTTAAAAGTACTTCTAAAGCACTTAACTAAAAAAAAAAAAAGGCTTCAGCAGAGTCACCCTTGTTTCAATGACACTTTAACATACTGAAGCCAAGAACTTGAGGATTCATCCGTGAGCACAAGTACTCCAGACTACAAGATTTTGATGCAGGACCCAGTTGAAAAGTACAGTTTGAAAATACATTGACCTTGAAATCAAAGGAGTGCTCTCAGCTTCAATTACCTGCAGTTTTCAATATCAAATGGAAAACACATAGTAGCTTCCTTTTCAGAAGCTAGCTGTTATCTACTGGCCATTTTAAGTATACCCATTAGCAATTTTGGGACGCGGGTGGCGCTGTGGGTAAAACCTCAGCGCCTAGGGCTTGCCGATCGCATGGTCGGCGGTTCAAATCCCCGCAGCAGGGTGAGCTCCCGTCTTTCGGTCCCAGCTCCTGCCCACCTAGCAGTTCGAAAGCACCCCTAAGTGCAAGTAGATAAATAGGTACCGCTTTCTAGCGGGAAGGTAAACGGCGTTTCCGTGTGCTGAGCTGGTGCCAGCTCGCCAGAGCAGCTTCGTCACGCTGGCCACATGACCCGGAAGTGTCTCCGGACAGCGCTGGCCCCCGGCCTCTTAAGGGAGATGGGCGCACAACCCTAGAGTCGGACACGACTGGCCCGTACGGGCAGGGGTACCTTTACCTTTATTAGCAATTTGGCTCTTAAAAGCTTTTCTCTGCCTATGGCAGTTCCAAGCAAGAACCTGGGCCTGCACAACTGAGGAAGTTAGCACAGATGTATGTGAAGTATCTTCATTAGAAATGGGCTTACCCTCATTACCTATGGAGGTGTAAGGACTCTAGATATGTGTAATTTGTACACAAGTACAACAAGTATGTTTGTTTTTGTTTGTTTGGTCAGTCAACCTGAGAATAAAGCACTGGGCCCAGAAAGCAATAGTCAACGTTAAGACCTCACATTCAGGATCTGCACACGAAATTTATGACAATGCAGTTCTAGAGTCTCTTTTCACCTCAGTTTACAGAACCAATCCCTATATTTCCATTTAGTCCCAAATACCTTTTGGGAGGAAATCAAAAGTATCATGGTTGCTCTTCTATGCCTTCATTCACCTACAAAACAAACATTTAGGAGTTCTCCCTTCCTCCAGAACCTTAACATGCACTCCTTGAGTTTTCCTCAACCTCCTTTCCCTGTCTCTCCTGCCCTTTATCTTTGCCTCCTCTCCATGCTCTTTATTTTCTCAGGTTTAAAGGAACATAAGCCTTATGTTCCCCCTTCAAGACACTTACCTTTTTCACAATTTAGGAGGGTTGAAACAGACTGCTTGTTTGGAGAACCATAGTATGTGTGGCTCAAGGGAATCTAAAAATACTTACCAACCCTACACAGCCTTTGCTTGGGAACAAAAATGACCCACAACTTGTTTTCATACAGGCAGGACAGACTACACAACCATAATTAATGCATAAGGGCCCTGAGAGCCTTGGTAACCAATCTGATCTCTGAGCTCCCAGATCACCATGAGCACTTGAGAAGGTCTTTCTGTATTTTTCTCACACCATTTTCCCCTGTGGTATCCTGTCCTTTAAAGGATACCTGGTTTCTCTTGTCCTTCATCATGCCTAGGCAGAGAGGTCACATCTCCCCTCCCTTGGATTATAATAGTTAAGCTGAAAACTTGTGGTTTCACAAAGAAAATGAACTGCTGTGGCAGTAATAAACACTTTGATAGCCACCATCTCCTTGCCATGGACACTTTCATTGCTTAATCCTTCATATGCCCAATAGCTGGGCTATGTGCAGCTCCTGGGATTGGCTGCTTGGAGCCTCTTGTCAGTCAGAGGCCACCTGGGTAAAGAGCACTTAAAAATGGGACACCAACATCCCTTTGTCCCTCCTCAGCCATCCAAGAAGATGCTAAGTTGCTCATGAGCAGACTATAAGCCTGCATGAGTAAAGTAATTGGGTAGGTGCATTTTAAATGTTTATTTTTTCAGTATGTTATTCTGCCTTTGTGCTTTTACTCTCGTAAGCCAAATTTTTAATAAACTCTCTTAAAATTGGCTGCTGGGGGCTTGGTGTATGTTTGAGCTCACCTCACTGTTCCCAAATCTCTTTGGTATTTGTGTCTAGGGAAAATATGAGGAAAGCAAGCTGTTCTGATGTTGATGTTACAATTGCTCCATATGCATAAGTTCTCACACCCAGCACTTAAGCAAATAATAGATTACTCGTGTTCGTTGTGTCAGAACAATGCATAGGAGACATCTCCCCCCCCCCCGATTTCTGTAAATTCTAGGGATTATACTAGCATAAAACATATGAATTCAAAATCTCAAGAAATACAGTCTTTTTAAAACCCTACTTTTATTTTTTTAACCACACAAAGTTATACTGCACGAAAGCATAGTAGACAATTATATAATGACATAACCTGATGGTTTCCTAAAGAGACAGTCAGAGCAAAATACACAGAGAATAAAAAGAGTTTAGAAGAACTATCAGGATATGCTTGGATGCTTACAAATGATTTTCTCTATCAACCAGGGAGTTCTGTGAAAAAACCTGCTTGCTACCTAAATTTCTCCTATATTTATATTAGTTTGTGGTAGGTTTGTATGTGATATCTTGCACAAAGCTTCTAGCTGCTCACAGTTGTATCAGAAAGCCTCAATCTTGATCAGGGAATTTTATGTTTCCAGTACCGTTCTTGTTTTAATCTCCAAAGTAAGATTGTCAAGGTGGGCAAAAGTTCAATCTTGTTTACAGTGACAGACCAACAACCAGGTAAAAGACCTGTGAAAGGTTAAAAGAGGACAAAGGCATCTACTTGAATGATGTCCTTGAAGCTGCATTCCAGAGAAGAACAGGCACAGGTTGAGTGCTCCAGCATCACCCTAATCATTCATAGCCTTGAGCATCTGCTCCTGTCTCAAGGCCAGAGGAGGAGCTGGTGGTACTGGTACCTAATAGTTGGAGACATAAGCGAGTTCTGTTTCTAGTTAGGGAGGTAGTGGAAAAGGCAGTATCTGTAATCTTCCTCTGTCCCTCCCTCTCCCTCTGCATTCTGCCTGACTTTCTGCCCTACCCCTTGTGGCCCAAACTCGGCCATTGGCATTTTAGGTTTGTTCCATTGTGTCTAGGCCTGCCAGATCCCTAGTACCCTCCCCTCTTATTATTTAGGAACAGCAGTTTCTCCTGCCTCTTTACAACTAATCAGTGCACATGGCACATGCAACATTGATGCAACCTGTGAAGTGGTAGGAAAAGCAGGATTTGCCTCATCAGTAACATTGCGGACCCCCTTCCTAGAATATTCAGATAATGTTTACAAGAAAAATGTTTTTACTTCAGGAGGTGTATGCGGGGGGAGGGGGAGAGAGTGAGTGTTGGCAGCAGTGCTCCTACTTGTTTCCATTTTCCAAATCAATAAATGGAAAGGGCATGTGGATGACTGGCAGGCACTTGGCATATTTTTAAATGATGTTAAAATGTTATTGAATGTCATTACAATGAATTCAACATCTATTTTTAAGATATTAGATGCCTTGTATTAATTTTTTTACTGACTTGCTTTAACTTACAAGTCTTCCCACCCTGCTGATGAATCCTTAGCCCTCACCACTTCCCAACATTATTATCTCTGCTGGTTAGCTACCTCAAACGATGAACTGGAAAGACACTCAGCTAAGGCTTTAGATTGTTAATCACATTGATCAACCAGCTAAGCTAGCTCCAGCAGTTACCAAAGAGGCTGAGTTCACAGGTCTGTCGGAACAGGAAGGAGAAAAAGAAAGCTGTTAGCTTCTTTCCTCTTCATCTATTACAGCAGTAGCATAAGAAAAGAAATATTGCAGGTACTGTCAGTTTTTGACTTGTAGCCCCACCCTTCCTCCTGGCCCCACTCATTTGTCACCATTGTCATTTCCTGGTTATGCCTCTCATTTAAATAAACAAGATACATTGTCATCATAAATAGCAAAGCAGGCCTGTGGCCCTCCAGAGGTTGTTCATTTCCCGTCAGCTCTAACCACGATAGCCAATGATCTGGGTTGATGGATG